TTATACTTTAAGTAAATTTACAAGCCTGTACTTTGTTACTTTTACTTGAGTAAAGAAGTTTAATCAGTACTTCCACTTTTACCAGACTATTTTTTAACACAAGTATCTGTACTTTTACTCAAGTACGGAAAGTGAGTGCTTTTGCCATCTCTGTCGAAAGGGCAGATCAGCAACATTCAGTTTGATCCAGAAGGGATCGTATTAGGCAATACTAGGCAGTTTCCTATAACCCAAAGTTCCTGGGGCCCCCATAAAACTGTGTTTATATGTATGTTTTTTAAAACTATTTGTGTGCATTAATTATGTTTTTGAAAAATCCTTTTAGTAAAATGGCATCAGAACGCTTATAATATTGTAATCTCAGAGACAGGAGAGACAAGAGAAGAACAAACGTAGAACAAATAATGTATGTCTATTCTACAAAAAATTCTGTATATTGGGTCAGGTTTATGTTATGCCTTCTCAATTCAGAGGGCCCCCTGCCTGTCTTTGCCTAAGGCCTTAAATTTCCAAAATCAGCCCCTGTCCAGAGGTTCATACTCAGATCATAAGAGTGAAAATAAGTTATAGAAATCCTTTATATAAGGAAACCTTGGTTATTTCTCCCTAGTTTGAAAATAGTACATTCATGTCTCATTAAAAACATTTGATCAAGACTAAAACTCCTGTTTCTGTTTGATCTCAGCACGTTGAAGGATATGTATTCATGGGGTGTTTTTATCACAAAGTAGCTGAGGTGAGCGTCAGTGTAAAAACTGTGGATAAGAGCCCTGTCAGTTGGTGTTAACCTGCAGTGAGAGGATGTCAGGAACCATTAAGGCCTGAACACACCTGCGTCTGTCACATTAGGGCTGGAACTTTCTCAGGTCATTTCAGAGAAATTAAAATGGACATAGCTGTCTGCTAGCAGCTGTTTGCTTTGACTAGATTATAGAAGGACATTTGTGCTGTCTGTCATTTTCAGGGGGCAGAGAATCAAGGGAAGAATAGATGTTTTAAAGTTCTGACGTTCAGAATATGGTTAAAATCATGCACTCCATGTTAATATATGTGATGTCAATTGAGTGGATTTATGTAAAATCTTTTTTTTTTTTTAACAACTATCATCTAACTTTGAACACTTCAGACAAAAACTCTCAAGTGAAACCAGTCATGAAGGCCGAGACAGACATCTGTAATTAAGTTTTAAAGTTAACAGACGCCTTCAACTTTGCTTTGCTCACAAATATTTTATTAGTCTGAGAAGGATGATTGCTGATGATTTAAATGACTGAAGTTTGGTAAAGGCCTGGTAACAAGCCATTCCCTTGCTATGGCGCAGTTGGAGCAGGGATGCATCCAAAACCTGCAGGACAGTAGATCTTTAGGACCAGGGTTAGAGACACCAGGTTTTCTTTCCAACCAAACAATAGCACACCAGACTCCAGTCATCTCATCAAGTGAGTCCAATCTGAACACGGTGAGTTGATGATATGAATGGAGTCTGGTGTGCTATTGTTTGGTTGGAAAGTAAACCTGCAGCCACACGGCCCTTTCGGGAACCAGTTTGACACCTGTGTCGTACATCAATGACTAGTGCTGATCATTTGAAAAGTCCATTTGCTCCAAAATCTAAACTTCAAGCCGGTCAGTGAAAGGTGTTTTTTCCTCAGTGAATTTGTAAAGGGACATTTTATCCATGTGGGGAATTGTTTCTCTTTGGGTAAAGATTTACTTCAGTTCAGTTCATATACAATATATCATGCCAATTCACAACACATATCAACTCAAGGCACTTTACTGACAGAATACAGTCAGCTTAGTAAAAAGTTTTCTGTCTAAGGAATGTTGTACCATATGCCATGATCATGGTTTTTGGACATTGAGAACCAGTGACCCCCCCTTTTCAGCCAACTGCCTCCACAGCAACTCCTAAAGAGTTGTGACTTGCCACCCGCCTCTGTGTTGAGGACAGTGGAAACCACACAACACACAGGATTTCACTCTCTTTCTCATGAACCTTGGTGTGAGCCACATGGACAATAATGCCTGCCTGCTAAGCTGCAGCTGGATGAAACGCAAGCTTTCCAAATGGACATGGACAAAAGGTTTGCAGGTCTGGCATTATTAGGCACAGAACAAACCATATGTCTTTTGATGATGTTGATCATTTAATGTGTTTACTGATGAGTAAAGACAAAGCTAACAGTATGGACTGCATGCTATGCTATAGTATTATGTTTTGAGCTGTTGTTGAAACAGGGACAAGCTTTATTTCACTAAGGGTTTAAACACTGATGTAACATTAGTGCTCCTTACATTTCAATTACCAAGTATGACCAAAAGTCATCTAATGGAATCCTGATGTCTATTCGTTGCTAGCTATTTCATTTAACTAAAGGTTATTGGTTCCTGATTAGGCAAATCATTTAATAAAACATTATTTGGCCAAATAATGTTTTATTCACCTCATGGATTTGCATTGTAAATTGGTTTGAAAACATTCCAATAGCTCTAAATTAGTGAAAAGCTCCAGATAAACTTGAACTGTAATATGGTTTTCAACCATGCTTCCCTTCCTCTTCGTACATAGTAGTTTGGTTTAGTTGAGTTTCACTAGTTTTAGTTAAGAGTTTTTAACTGAAATATGTTTGACTCGGAGCTGAATGACTTGTGTTAATAAACTCTATTTTTTGAACAGAAGTTGTGGTGAATTTATTCCATGTATGTGCAGAATTAGCAGTTTGATTAGAGCTCGAATCACTCCTTCATCTATCCTTCATCTATCTGATTAAATAAGATATTTACCACCCCTACCGAAGAGGGCAATGAATATCTTAAAGTATCAGAAAATATGAATTCCCAGCTGGCTGCGAATTAAATATAACATTCATAACATAAATATGGCATCCAACCTGGATTAGTATTGAATATAATATAGAATCACAACAGGAAAGCCAGCTGAGGGCTGCATGGTTGGTAGCACTGCTGGTTACAGCAAGAAGGTTCCAGGTTCGATTCCCGGCCCGGGGTTTTCTGCATAGTTTTCATGTTTTTTCCCGTGCATGCCTGGGTCTCTCAGGTTTCTCCCACGGTCCAAAAATATGACTGTTTGGTTAACTGGCCTCTAAATTCTCCTTGGGCGTGAGTGTGTGCGTGAACAGTTGTTTGTTCTGTTTGTCTCTGTGGTGCCCTGTGATGGACTGGCCACCTGACCCCACCTCTTGCCCATTGACAGCTGGAGATAGGAACCAGCGCCCCTCGTGACCCCAGCAGGGATAAGA